CAGGGGAACAGGGACAACAGCTGTTGCGAGTCTCTAAGCAGTGGTGCAGAGGATGGACTAGGCAGTGCAGCCTCTAGCTGTATGTACTACACCTGCAGCAGCCCTTGCTTCTCTAACAGCAGTGGCCCAAGAAAACAGTCAAGTCTGAAGTAAGAAAAAGTTTAATTTTCTCTTTCCGACTGACATTAAAGAGAAACTGAGGATTAAAAGGCACTAGGAAAGACCCCATAGGAGGAGAAGATGGGGGTGGATCTGTCTGTGTCCTCTGCTATGGGTTTCTTTTTCAAGTCTTGACTTTTTACAGCATTTAATCTGCACTCTGCTGCCTGATTTCATAGTGCTGTCTCGCTCCTGTGGTGCTTGTGCGTGTTGTTTTGGGGGCAGCCCGCCTGGGAGAGCTGCTCTCTGTCCTCGGTCGCGGAATTACCAAGTTCGCAGTCCTGCGCGTCCAGCTCGCGGCGGGAGAGGTGCTCCACGATGCCGGCGCCCAGAGAGTCCCCCAGGACGTTGGTGGTTGTTCTGAGGCGGTCCCTGAAACGCCAGAGAGCAGAAAAATGAACGACAGCTGCCCAGGGCCAGCTAAGGGAATGAGGAGGATGTCAGGAAACACCTGTAAGGAAACTTCACTTCTCACATTTCTCTAATATTTGGCACTTCAGCATTGACAAGAAAACAGCTGATGAGCTGAACGCTTCAGGGTGCACAAGCAAACAGGGCTTATGTAGCTGGAGGCCTTTTAGTTACAGCTCTTGGAATGATTCCCAGCGTTTTCCTTGATTGTTAAGGCTGAGCTCTGCGGCACAGCCTGCCCCTAAAGGTCTGGAGATAGTTTCTGCACGCCCTTCAGGAGAAAGCAAACTAAATATACTCTGCTTGGTGACCAAGCTAAGCTGCAGGTGGCCTCAGGTCCCCAAGGCAGGTGGGGAAGCCTCCACCATGGGCAGAGGTGCCAAGGATGGAGGGGTGCTGCGAGATGGATGATGCAGGTTACTGAGGCTGCTTTAGCAGAGACGCTGGCTGCACAGCAAGCCCGGAGCAGAACGTGCTGCTAAGTGAAAACTGAGGCTGAGGGAGCTGGGCCTGTACAGCTGGAGAAGAGAAGACTGAGAGGGGACCTGAGCAGTGTCTAGAAGTACCTCAAGGGAGGCAGTGAGGAGGATGGGCCCGGCCTCTTTTCAGGTGTGGCCCATCATAGAAACCTTAAGGAAAAATTCCTTCATAGTGAGGGTGCCAGAGCACTGGAACAGGCTGCCCAGAGAGGTTGTGGAGTCTCCTCCTCTGTACATCTTCAAACCCGCTTGGACGCAGCCCTGTGCCACGTGCTCTAGGTGACCCTGCGTGTGCAGGGGGTTGGACTAGGTGACCTCGAGAGGTCCCTTCCAACCTTAATAATGGTTTTATGATCCTATGAAACTCACAGGAACCAGTCCACGGCGATGATGAGCGTGATGTCTTCCGTGGGCAGCCCCACCGAGGTCAGCACGATGACCATGGTCACCAGGCCTGCCTGGGGGATGCCCGCAGCGCCGATGCTGGCTGCCGTGGCCGTGATGCTGGGGAAGAGGAAAGCACAGCTCAGAAACGGGAGAGAAGGAAAGAGCAAACGGACATTGAATTAGTGCCCAGCCTGTTCCCAACAGCAGAGCGTGTTTCTGTGGGAACATGATCCTGCGCCAAAGTTATTTCCAAAGGATGGTGCACATGGATTCCCTCCTCCAGCCCCAACACCTTTCCCAAAGGCACAGGCACCTTATTGTGATGATCTGTCCGAAGTCGAGCTCGTAGTTGTTGACTTGTGCGATGAAGATGGCTGCAAGGGCCTCATAGAGAGCGGTGCCATCCATGTTGATGGTGGCTCCCACGGGCAGAACGAACCTCGTGATGCGCCTGTCCACGCCGTTGTTTTCTTCCAGGCACCTGAAGGTGATGGGCAGAGTCGCTGAGCTGAAAGGAAGGAACAAATCAGCATGAATTAAGTGCATGTAGACTTTGGAAGAGGGACTGAGCCTCTGCCTCGTTTACCCACCTGTTTGTTTCACCCTGCCATGTGAACCAGGGGCCAGATGCTGCTAGGAGAAAGAAGAGGCTAAGCAAGGCTTCCTCGGACATGGTGCATGCTGCAGTTGCACATTCAGACAGGGCTTTCTTCTGGGGAATTCAGGGTCCGTACGACAAAATCTCTCTCAGCTATTAATTAAACTCGAGCCTTTTCTCCCACCCTCAGTGCACAAGGCAAGAGGGACCCTGGTGTGAGAGCGTGGCAGAGGCATCACCATGGTCCGGTACGGAAGAGTGCGGGACATGCCCTGATGGCTGGAGATGGCCGAGTGATCAGGGTGTGTGAGCAGGGGAGGCTCCGCTCCCGGCGGGCCTGATGGGCCCAGAGCAAAGGGCTGGGGCTGGTCAGTGTCTGCTCTGCTTGGTGCAGACGTCAGGAGGCCTCGGCGCTGCCCTGAGAGCTCCGCGGAGCCGGCGCAGAGCGTCCCCCCCAGCTCCAAGCCCGTTCCCTTGGCTGTGGTTTTGCTGGATAGTAGGTAGGGACAGTGGGAATCTCGTTCATCCATTCACCTGCATCACTAATTAGATGACGAGGCATTTGGCTATTTAATGAACCTTGCAAACGCAAGGCACCTTTTCCAGCTTATAAGCGGGCTGTCCGCTATGTCATGATTGGTAGAATTGGACCTGACATTTGGGACGAGATGGAACAATCCCACGCCCAGGGACACAGCCAAAGAAGAACAAGAGCAACAAGAACAGCTCCTGGCCGGCCGCGTACCTGGAGGAGGTGCCCAGGGCCGTGATGAGGGCCTGCAGGAGCCCCGCGATGAACACCCAGGGGTTCCTGTGCGTGACGATGAAGTAGAGCAGCGGCAGGATGCACAGGGCGTGGATGAGCAGGCCCACGATGACGGTGAGCGTGTACATGCCCAGCTGGCCCCCCATCACTGCCAAGTCATCCATCTCCAGGATTTTGCCAGCAATTAAAAACATGATCCCGACTGGGGCGTACCTGTGGTAGAGACACAAGGACCGTGCTCAGAACTAGCATCCACATTCTCACACTTGCTTTATTCCTTGCTTTTCTGGACAAATCCCCAATAAAACAGCGTGCAGGAAGTGCTGTCTGAGCCTAGTTATTGGATGAGCTGCTGGTTTTTGCTCTGGCAACCTGGAGAGAGCTGGGCCGTGTCCACGGAGTGCTCCAAGACGAGCACATTGCACGGAGGGCCGCAGTGCTCTGCAGTGTGCACAGCCTGGGCGCGCGCGGAGGTTTCCTCCTGCTCCTGCTTCCCTGCACACATCTCCTCAGCACTCCTGATAGCAGCGCCAGGGAGGGTTATCCAGAGGTTATCCCCTTCCTCGGGGAGCTTGGGCACAGTCCAGGACTTGGACGGAGTGTCCGTCCGGTTGTCTCTCTTTCCTGACATCCATGGAGAAGTCCAGAAGTAACAGGGAAGAGTGGAATAAAAGTGATAGTGTTTGGCAAGCTCCGAGATGCCAGCCTTGCTCTCTGATTTAGAGTTCACAGTGTGTAGGAAATCCATGGCTGGCACGGCAAGGCACGGACACCGACACCTGCCACGCAGCTCTGGCTCTTCTGCAACCCCTTTTTGAAGGAGGGATCTATCATTTCCATTCCTTTAGCTTTTTTCTTTTTTTTTTTTTCCCTCACAATGAAAAATGCTACTGCTGTGAGCTGTAGTGAGGCTTCAAAAGAAGGAAGCAGTAACACAGGCATGGAGAACATCGTGGGCACTAAACGGGACGTGGACAAGTAACGGGACCAAAGAGAACCTTAGCTCCATGGCCAGATCCCCCAGGGCTTGGGAGCTCACATGCAGTTCATGCACAAGGCTCCAAGGTCCACATGCCAGACTCCAAGTCAACCTGGGAGCTTTGGAAAAGTTCTGGAAAGGATTTCACAAATATTTCATTTCCTCTGACCTTCTTAAAGGCCATTCTTGTCTGCAAACAGTGACCGGATCTTTCCAGGAAAAAAAAAGCCAGATTCCAGCCAACCCTGCAGGCTGTGGGGACAGGCTTCAGGAAGGACTGCCACACATTCCAGGCTTCTGGAATGTCTTTTGGTGCTCTGGGCTGCTGTAGGCCTCTGATTCTAATCAGTTGGCCCAGACTTGGGCCTTTTGATGGTCATTTGAAAGCAAAGTATTTCAAACCCCAGAGCCCTTCCCTTCAGTGACAGGAGAAGGGAGTGGTAGAGTCCAGCCATAGGTGCACTTCATTCAGGAAGAAAACGAGCTCCGTGGCCATCAGTACCTCCAGGAACAATACATTTAGGGGGGCAGCTACAAAATGTAGCCCTTCCAGGCATGGCTCATGCCAGGGCCAGAAGGAATTGCCACCTGGCAGGAGGGAACGATGGGGACTCAGTTCTGAACATGCCAGTGCTGAGCCCATGACCAGGGCTGAGTTGTGCTGGACCTGAGTGTCCCCTGCGAGTTTCCCATGTGCTGGATCTACCAACACCCTCTTTCTTCACAGTAAAGGGAAGTCAAAGGCGGCTGGAAACTGGTCCTGAGGGTAGTGAACAGGTCCAAAGGAGGCAACAACCAGCCGAGCTCTAGAGTTGGGATGTGGGAGACCACAGGCTGAAAGGCCTTTGAGTTAATCTTGCCAACCCAGCTCAGCTCACAGAGCTCCTGCATAAAGGTGCCGTCCTGAGGAGCGGGTCAGTGGCACTGAGTTACTCTGCTGCAGAGCTGGGCCAGACTCCTGACGCACAACTGGAAGGGAAGCTCCCTGTGGACACCCTACTGCCTGGTAAGGCCAAGAGAACCTCCACTCCAGTGTCCAGCAGCCTCAAGGAAAGTATGTCCCCGTCTGCCTGATATTTCTAATGTAAAAACAGAGCACAGGAAATGAAATGTGAACATCTATCCCATCCAGGCTTTTCCCTCCAGGCTGATGGAGCCGAAGGAGAACCGTGCCCATCCGCTTTTCCCTGCGCACGTCATCCTTAAAGCTACCCCATTTCTCATCAGGTCAGTGGCAAACTGCACCTGCAGACCTCCTGCTCAACCGGCCGTGCTCCTCACCAGATGATAATGGCCACCAGCCTCATGATGGCTTCGTTGAGGCAGTTAAAGAACTCCCGCAGGGCCCGTCCCTTCTGCTTCATGCTGCCGATCACCAAACCGAAGCACATGGAGAACACTACCAGCCCCAGTGCGTTCACCCCATTGGCTGAGCCCGGGATGGGAATGACTTCTTCAAAGGTCAGCACCTCGGAGAGGGTCCCCAGGGCATGAGTGACGTTCTCCAGGATACCAGTGGAGTTCTCAGGCACAGAGCTCTGGGTGGTTGTGGCACCTGCTGTGACATTGCTGCTGTGGAGGACGGTTCTGGTGAAGACCCTGGTGGTGTATTGTGTCTTGTACTGAAAGGACAGAGATCGTGAGATGCATTCAGGCCTGGTGCAGGAGTTCTAGATAACATGCTAGGCTCTTGCATCCCATCCTAAAGAAAGGAGATTACTCCAAAGTTCTGTTGAAAATTTGCCTTGCTTATTCTCCTCAGACTCCCTAATTTAGTGCGATATATATGTTAGGGCCAAAGGAGACCATTAGATCATCTAAAGAACTTCACTCACTCATTGCATCTACTCCCATGTGGTTGTACACGGCTAAAGCATCTTTTTCAATCTCAAATTCAAAATACTAAAAGATGCACAATTCCACATTCCCCATTTTTTTCATTGTTAAGAAATGCACCTACTTTTCAATTTGAACTGTTCTCATTTTACAGCCTTTGTTACTTCTACCCCATGCCCACCCCTTGGGTTTAAGATCTCTTTGACACTTTTTTTTTCCCTTGTTTTCTAGTTGTTGACTGAAGGATGCTGTAGTACTAACTGGTGACTAGAGTGCCTCAGTGCCTCCTGGAGCAGTCAGAGTGGCAGGATGGGAAAGCAGCACAAAGCCATCCCTGTTCTTATCCCTCAGGGAAGTAGTTTGGGTCATGGGCTACTGCAGAGGGCCCAAAGGGAGGTTGCAGGCCAGGCAGGATTTCCTACCTGTTTGAAGCAGGCTTCTACCAGGTTGGGCGGGAACATATTCCTGCAGTGGATAAAACAAGGAAGGAGTTACAGTCCTGTTTGTCTAGGAGCAGGTTTGGTGTTCCTGGCCAGTGTCTGTATCATGGAGCAGCGTCTGTAGCCACAACAGTCACAGTGCCAGGTCTGGCTACAGAGCAGATGTTGGAAGGGCTGTTTGAATCCAGTGCTCCAGTGAATCCAGAGCAGTGTCTAGAGACACTGTTGCCCACTGTGGTCAGCCTTTTTCTCTCTCGTGCATTTTCTGACTGGCCTCCTGTCCTGCAGAAGCTTCCTCGTGGTTAGCTTGCCACTAACTCCTCATCCTGAAGCCCTCAGAATATGGTCAATAGGTAGCTGACAGTGAAAGCCTCAGCCAGAAACATTTCTTCCCCTAACTGTGTGTCTAAGACTGTGAAACTTCAAAAGGAGGTTCAGTGAAGGAAAGGAATCTCATTGTCCAGCATGTTCTCACATGACACAAGCTTGTCCACCTACCTCACCAGGTCCATGAAGGCATCTGTGGTCTGCACCTGCTCAATTCGTCCCTCCCGGTGGAGCTTATCCTTGGATCCTTTCCCTGGGTGAATGATGATCACCATGAGGATGCCAATGAAGACTGCTATGATGGTGGTCACCATGTAGTAGACCACGGCCCTCATGCCCATCTTCCCTGAGGCTCTGCCATCCAGTGAGGCCATACCTGGGGAGTCACACAGGAAAACAAGGTGAGAAGGTCTATTAATTAACCTTGGGTAGTGCTCAGCTCTCTTCCCTAATTGGAAGAAGTCTAAATCAAGCTTGGACAACAGACTTTTCAATGATTAAATTTACACAGGATTTTACACAGGATGAAATCCTTGTCTGTGCTCAGATATTGGACACTGGAAACCATTGAATCCCTCCCATTCTTCTGAGAAAGCACAAGACCTTCTGCTTCTCTTCACCAATACTGAGCCAGCAGGGCTAAGATTGTGCTTATTACAGTCATAGGCTCAGACTTTTCACAATTAGTCAGGCTTATCTAGGTGTTGTTTGCAGCCAGGGCATCGGGAGAGACCCTGAAGACATTTAGCAGCAGCCTATCCAGAGCGTGGCCTGGACTGTGGGCACCAGGGAGCTCTTCTCACCTGTAATTAAGCTAGAGACGATGAGAGGAAGGACCAGCATCTGCAGCATGCGCATCAGCAGCTCGCCAGGGAAGGAGAAATACTTGATCTGGCGATAGGTCAGCTGGTAGGGCCGGAGGGAAAAAGCCAGGATGATCCCTGTGGAGCAAGGGGGGAGAATGGAAAGGGGAGAGTATGAGCTGTCCCTCAATCCGTCCTACACCATGGCTGTTCTTCCCCTCTTTCAGCTCTTCCTCTGCCCAAAGGGGGAAGGAACAAATGCTCCTTTTTCTTCTGAAAGACTGTGATCCAGCTCTTGCTCTATGCAAGATGAGGGAGTCCTCATCATCCCCTTCTTTCTAGAGCTTGGACACAATCTACAACAGAAAGGCTTCACTGATTGAGCTGTACTAGTTCTCACAAATATCAGCAAGGTTTGCTCAGAGACTTTCTGTGAATGCAGCTCCAGACCCAAGGATTCTTTACTCTCTCCTCCCCAGCCAATTCCTTCCCATCAGATAAAATCTTTGAGGAGCAGATGGCCTTTTCCCCACGGTTACAAGTGGCGCCCAGCGTTGCCCCGAGCTCCCTACCCAGCAGGACGGCCGCGATGGTGAAGAGGACGAAGGCGTTCCTCCTGAGGAAGCTCCTGGCGCCCTCGGCCGTGAGGCTGCGCACGCGCTTCCCGGCGCGGGCCGCGCGCTTCCGCAGGGCCTGCTGGAGCCGGCGCACGCGGCTCTGCGCGTGGGGGCGCTCAGAAAATGCAGCACCCGACACGTGGCCTTCCTTTCCTTTTGCGGGTGTGGGTCATTCCCCTGGAGCCCCGAGCAGATTTAGTGAAAAGCTCCTCCGTATCCCCACAAGGAACAGATCCAGGGTGTTCCCGGGGCTGCAGGTGCTTTGTTCCCACTGTGCTCCGGTGTCTCCAGAGAATCCATGGCCTCTGCAGCACCTGCCTGTGCAGAGTGGAGCACTTTGTGGTGGCTTTGGGGGCACAGAAGGGCTCCAGGGGACCCAGGCTTGTTTTCATGAGTTCAGCAGTTTGCCCAGAGGTGAATACTTTACTTCCTGCACATGTCTGCACATTTACTGTTCTAAACAAGGAGCAAACAAGATCTCCCACACACATCCTCAGTGGACAGCACCCTACCAGAAAGCTTTCTGCACAACAGAGAGCAGCACCACCAGTTTATGCAGAAAGGACCATAACTGCTGAAGGACATGGAGAAGCAGAACCACCAAAGACTGCATTAAACCCCAAAAGACTCTTTTGTACCCCCAAACCACTCACTCCTTCATGAGACAGCCCAGCACACTTTGTAAGTGCCTCACCCTCCTTACCTGGATGTGCAAAACTCAAGTCTCTCTACTCAAGTTAAGTGAAAAGAGTCATGCTGGCAGCTCTGAAATGACTCACACTGGCTTGCTAAGCTCCAAGCAGGTTATCCCCAAACTGATATCCCCCAACATGATATCCCCAAACACAGAAGAAGGGAGACAGGGTGGGAAATAAATGATGTGCCTATGTGGAAAAATGAGACAGTGGGGATCCATGGGGAGCTTGGGGCTGAGGGTGCCAATCTGGACCTCTGCCTTTGCAACAAACACGCTGCTTTGGTGGGGTTTTTAGCAGCCCCAAGTGTCTGAATACAGTTCAGTTGATGTGAGGAGCTCGTCTCTAATCCTCAGCTGTGCAGCCAAGCCAGGGAATGATGCCAGCCCTCTGCAAACCTTGTGTGAGGAGGTTTGGACAAGGGTTCTTGTACGGGGAGCTCCTGTACAGAACCACCCTCTGCTTGAAGAGACTCACCTGCGCTTTCCTCTGGCTGCCTCCCCATCCACACGCGCTGGGAAAAGTGTTTCTGCGCAAAGCGTATGGAGTTTCTGTTTTGGTGTGGGAAAAATCAGGACTGGTCACTAGATCCCATGTTCCACCATGTCCTCAGCTGCCTTCTCCGAGCAAAACTTGTCACAGAAGAGGAACTCGCCAACAAAACTTGTGACGTCCCCACCCACTTGCTGACTTGCCCCCTTTCTCCAGCTGCATATTTTGCAATACAACAACTCCCTCCATAGTACATTCCCTCCGCACTGCTGCCCTGAAATTGTGTAAATGTCTTCTATTGCATCAGCTGGAGGTTCTGAGAGTGCTACAGTAAGTCACCAGAATATCATCTATGGCAGATTAAGTCTTTGGTGTCATGGATTTTCCTTTCTCTAAGGGAAAATGTGGCCTTGCTTCAATAAGCAGGTGAAGGTTCTTGTGCGTATGTCTGTGCCGTTCCAATCTCCAAGCACTGAGATATAGGAGAGAGCATTTTCAGGGGTAATTTCAAGGCTAGACCAGGAAGCACAGAATATTTTGAAAGAAATTCAGCGTTGCAAAACTAACACCCAGTTCTTGGCAATGAGGTTTCAGATAAACAGTGGAATTTTGGCCATTTCAGGGAGAACACTCAGAAGATGGTGAAAGTAAAAAAAAAAATGGGGAAGGAAGACTTTGTACTACATTCTTTATCCCGTTCTTTGCACATTTTTATGTGATCATCTCATCTACCAATAGAGAAGATTTCCAAGGGAGCAGGCAATATACAGGAATTATAAAGAACTTTAAAATAGGAAGACTTTTTAAAAGCGAATCTCTGCGTCAGCTGAGATGCCTCCATCTCAGCTTGTATGTCCTGTTGTTAAACACTCCTCCATGTGCCTTGTCTCTGCTAAAGCAGTCCCCACTGGAAAAGCTGAAACCATCCAGTGTATAGGACCTACCCATGAGCAGATTTTAAAGATAGCAGGTAATAAAATCCTGGCTGAAAGGAAAGAACTAGCGCTCATCTGTGCAGATGGCTTTACTGAAGGGCTAAGTTTTTACTGCAGGACAGATGTCATCTCCTTGTCACACATGAACCCTCCTTGCCCTGCTTCAACCCGGTGGCACACAAGGACAGTTTAATTCCCTAAAGCGGCAGGAACAGAACAGTTCTAAACTTAGGAACAGAAACTGAGGCTGAGGGTGCTGGGTCTGTTTGGAGAAGAGGCTCAGGGGGATGTTGTTGATGGAATCAATAACTGGTGTGAGGAGGTAAAAATGGAGCCAGGCTTTTCTCAGTGCTGCCCAGTGACAGGACAAGAGGCAACGGGCACAAACTGGAATGCCAGAAAATTCTACTTAAGCATATAGTTTTTCACTGTCAAGGTGTCCAGTGCTGGAATAGGTTGTGCAGAGAGGTTATGAGGTCTTCATCCTTGGGGATACTCCAGAGCCGGGTGCGTGAGGCCCTGAGGAACCTCCTGTAGGTTTGAGCAGGGGGATTGGGCTCGTTGCTCTGCAGAGACCCCTTCCAAGAGCCACCCTGTGATCCCTCCGTGTCCTGCTGAGGTCCCGTCACACAAGGCTGTGTGACCTTCCCTCGGAGCCCACTGACATACCCTGGCAGCGTCCTGGAGCTGATGCACACACTATAAAGCACAGGACCGTGCTTTGGTTCCTCTCACTTCTCTCATCACCTAGCCATGCACAGCACTTTAGCAGCAAACTGGAAAATAAGCAACCTCAAACAAAGAAGAAAATCTGCCTGACCAGCACAGCAGTGGAGGGTCCCAGCCTCCCACAGGGAAATCAAGCTCTGGGACAGCTCAACTTGTCACTCCTCGGAACAAATAAATGGAAGGCAACGATTCCGATGCTGGTGACTAGTTGCTCCTTGTCCCACCATTGCTAGTGTGTGTGTGGAACAGCACACAAGGGGTTAGTCTAATTAGTCAGCTTTGCCCCTGAGGCTGCCAAATTAGAAATGCCCACCACAAAGTCTCATTCAGGAGAACCTGCCTCCTGGGACAGCGGGGAGAGTGGCGAGAGAATCCCAAAGCAGCCACTGCTTAGTAGGGCACCTACCGTCACCGCTGCCCCACGCGTGGAGCCCCACGTGTGCTAAAGACACAACTGGAAAGTCATGTCAAACCCGGGCAATTCCCCCAGGCCACAGACTGCTTCTTCATTCTGCTAATACAGCTTTTTTCTTCTTCTTCTTTTTGGCTGCTGAAAGCTAGCGAAAGACTGCAAAATAATCAGTACTTTTGAGCCCACCATTTCTCTTGTCTCCAAGGAAACTCTGCGGAGCTGTTCAACATCAAAACCAGCAGGATTTTCAAAGAGGGAAGCATCCGCACGTAGCGGCAGGGAAGCATCCTAAGGGCAAGAAGATGGAGGAATATGTGCAGGAGGAGAGGATCTGAGGAAGAACTCGGCACCAGCTGAGTACATTATTTAGAAGCAAGGCAAGGGGCTACTAGTCTGTCCATGGCGAACTCTTTCCTGGAGTTAGAGCTGGGTCACTTAGTGGGAAGGCGGGAGATGAACTCGCATCCTTGCGGAGCGAGGTGGAAGGGGCCTGGCAACTGTAGGGACCAACAGCCAAGTCCTACCTACATCGGGGCAGTTCATGGCACCCCATGGAATGGATCTGCCCAGGTGAAGCTGTTGATCCATATCTTTGAGAAGGAACTGGAGGAGGGGCAGCAAGGGACAGGGACTTCAGGCCAGCTGGACTCTACCATGACAAAGGTGTCACCCCCAGATCAGCTGCATCAGGGCTCGAGGCCACAGCTGGGAGGACAAGTCCCTTTCTCGCCTCTGCCTGTAGTTATGTCCCACAATCAGGCTGTCCTTCTCCAGCTGCCCAAACCTAGAACATCCAGTCGCACTTTTCAAGCAATCCCTTCCGGGCTGTCCCCTATCCTAAAGAAAGCAATCCCTGCTGCCCTCTCATGCCTTCATCCGAGGAAACCTTCTGCTCTCCTCTGGCCCTGCTTCAGCCGCTAGCCCTCTCGCTGCTCTTACTCATGCATTCAGATTCGCTGACAAAACCACTCACCTGGAGCAAGCGGTGGTCGTCGAGCAGGAAGGACAGCAGGTCTTTTGGGTCTGAGAACTCTCTTGATTTCTTGGGGATTGTTCTGCGTTGGTTGGTTCTCTAATTCTTGCGATCAAAGGCAGGATGCAGGATGCTAGCAGAGCTCAGAGCAGAACCTCCTGAGGGAAGAAGGGAAGACTGTAATATGCTCAGGATACATGGCAGCAGGGATGGGGGAGTGGCATGGAGGAGGAGACTGCGATGATCCTAGATGATTGCAGGAAAGCAGAGGACTCAAGGCATCTGTCAGCGTGATGCTGCGTATAGTTCCTGCTGGATTTAACACTAACAGTGTTCTTGCACTTTCTTATTCCTCCACACAAAAGCTGCAAAGGGAGTTAGGAGTAGCAGAGCACAGAACAAATGAGTTCAGGTCTCCTCCTCAGGCCACTTCTGCCCCTCAGTCTATTGCTTTCCACGAGGCTCTTACAAGCAGAATTCCACTCCAGCAGCCCCTGGATGTCCCAAACAGGCCGGCCCTTCACCAGTCTGGTTGGTGTAAACACAAGCTGAAGGTCCAGAGATGCTTCTCACTTTGTGCAGATAGGGAAGGATGTCACTATGTGCCTCAATTGCTCAGCTGTAAATGGAGGGAATAACCCTGCTCTTCCTAGGGAGGGTGGCACAGGTAGCACGAGCTCTCAAGTCATGCTAGTGTCACACAGCGACTGAAAGCCCTGCAAAGTTTCAGAGACTTCTGCAGCAAAACACATCCTGGAATGGGCTATGCAAGGAGACAGGTTTCTCTTTCTCCAGAATGGATGTCTCCAATGATGTGCCATAGACTCCCAAGTCCTGCCCTTGCTGCACCCCCAAAACATCTCCAGCAAGGCAGCCGAGAGCCAGGCTGTCCGTGGAGGGGTGAGTGGTCCAGCCAACGGGTTTTCCTCCAAAAACAGCATGTGCAGTGCGGAAAGGCTGTACTTAGGGACTGCTGCAGGTGCCCAAGGTCTGAGATAGGGGACATCTGCCCCTTGGAGGGTGACTTTGAACAGTCTGGACCAGCGATGGGTTGTGGCTTCAATCCAGGCTCTGCCTCGCAGACAAAGCCAAAGTTCAAGATGGGTCCCCAAATTGCACTTGACCTCTGTGGTCTGTTGCATCTTTAACTATCGACATGTGAATAGGTCCAAGGGAGATGAGGAAGTGGGTGGCCTGGACCTTGCATGCAGAGCAGCAACCTAAAGCTACTGAGGAGGCAAAGAGCTCTACTCCCTCTGGCCAGGGTTGCCTGACACCCTGACAGACCTTTCCCAGTTGGAAAAATTCCTTGGAGAGCAAACAGCACAATGAGCTAAAATCCCAGAGTCTGCCTTCTGCAAGTGCCAGGCACTCCTTATTGTGCCCAACACACAGAGGGCACGTGTCCTCAACAACAGGTTGGAAAGGAGACTCACGGTGTCCCCCTTGGGTGTAAAACAACCACTTACCATCTCTTTGTCTTTTAAGACATTGATTGTCTATTTTGATCTTAAAAAGAAATGCTTAAAGATGGAATAAGGCTTGGTTCATTGCACAGTGAGGAGAAACCTCGCACTTGCGCCTCTGCTAGCACGCAGCTGGGGCACAGTCAGGCTGCTGCACGCAGCTTGGATGCTGCATTCAGGCTCCCTAACTGCCATGGGGAAGGATGTGGTTTCCCTCCACTGGAGCAACCCTCCAGCTCTCCCTTCCTTGCAGGATCTGCTTCTCCCAGGTACAGTAACCTTAATTTGGGGGCTGGGATTAATTTTTTGTAGGCTGTGCCGTTCACTTGGCCCAGAGAGCAGAGCCCAATGACGCAGTTTTGTCCTTCATTCCAAGTTAGAGTTCCTGCAAATGAATCTCCGTTGTGTTTCACAGAGCTTCCCTTCCTATGGGAAATGCCAATATTCCCACATTTATTTTTGCCCTGTCTTGAAACAAAAAGGAAAATTTTCAGCTCT